TCCCATAAAGTAATTGTAAATATTATCAGGTATACTCCAACATGGAAAGGCAGAAAGTGTGGAAAGGCGCCAGAGCTAGTGTGAATACGTTGAGTCTATGACGTTGCTTCCCTGTGTGTGAACCGTGATTCTAAATCTAATTTAAAAATTATAAATTTTCACAAAAAAAAAATCTATCCCGAATATTTCTAACAGTTAAATCAAATAACATGGAGCTATCTCTTCCAATTAAAAAATTTGAATATTCAATTCAAAGTTCAAGCATTTAATTCAAAATATAAATGTTCAATCAAAAACTAAAGTACAATAAGTCAGTCAAAAGAAAAAATACAATAACATATTACATAAAAGAAAACCATCCTTCACATCGAATGCTTCATTTATCATTCAACCACGTCCAACCACAAAATCGTTTAACCTGTCTAAATAAGCAGGCATCTTTGGCATCTTCCACTTAAAACTTTCAACAAATAAATCACGTTACGAGGCGCATCACTTCTTATGCGGTTTAACGCATTCCTCTCGAATCTGAGAATGATCGTCTTCACGTGGCGGCAGATGCTCGCTTCCTGATTTCCGTAGACGTCTAGAGCCTCCTCCTGCTTGATTTACGTACAACGAAAAGGGGATCGATGACAACCGGTGCATATCCATGGAAAAGGAGCTTCCTGGAACGGCGAGGCGCAGATGCACGTTACGAGAACGCACGTGCTACGGACAATGGGTCAATCGCGTGCAAAAGTGATGCTTCACGCTTTTGGAGGTCTCTTCTTCGACAATGGCAGTACGGAGTTTCCGCACGTTACCTGTGAAGTAAGACAGATGAAGAGGCTCGTCTGAAAAAACTGTCCAGGCAACGGAAGTTCTTCAGACGAAATGGAGAAATTAGAGACTGAGAAAGCACGTGGCTCGGCACGATGACAACTTGGAAAATATGTATGGTTATTTAGGTTTCAGTATTAATATATTATAGAATATAATAATTATATAATTATAATTATATATTATAATTATAATTATATTATTATATTTAATAACATAGAATGTTATTATTATATTAATATTATTATATTATTTATAAGTATTATTATGTATAATAATATTATTATACATATATTAAGTATAAGTATATATTAAGTATAATAATATTATTATATTATTAATAAGTATTATTATAATTAATTATAATAATTGTAATTTATTGTTATAATTAATTTATTATACTTATTATATTATATATAATTATAATATATTATAGAATATATTAATATTCTATTGCGAAATAAATAATATACTTTCTGAATTTGATTTCGTGAATTACGACTATACATAGAAATGTTCTTGTTTAATTATATACACTAACTCATGAAAGTATTAGAACATTTGTCAGACATAGAAAACTTATATATCGATATTTTGAATGTGTTACGTGAAACTTCATTGTATAACGAGATTGTTATAATTATATTGGATTGTTATAGGATTGTTAGTGAAATTTGAAATCAATCTGTACGTGGAAATTGCAATGGTTAAAAGCATTGATAATTTTAGTAAGTTTACGATCTCTGATATTTCAATGTTTGTTACACTTTCTCTGTCTCGTATCAGACTGTTTGTTTTACTAGGGTAATATTTTTACCCTAACGTTTCATTTTAACGTTCTCCATTTATACTGGACTTTTGCAATTTAAGTTTTCGTCTAATATAACCAAGCTGTATATCAGATAAAAACAATCTTTTTTAAATTTGTTAATATCAGAACTAACTGATTTTCTGCTTCTGCGACAATTAAAAATATGCAAATTCTTTAACAAAATTAACATTGTTCTTTCGAATGAAAAATTTTTTTTTAGTTACCGAAAGAACTGTCAAAATTTCAATGAGACAAAATCGAAATTGGAGGTGAATTTCTCTTAATATTGACTAGTTATGGCTGTCGATACATATGGAGGATTTTCCGACAAATGTTGTCTGCGAATTCGATGGAAAGGTGATGTTGAAGGATAATAGTAACAGCTGGATCACAGATCGATCTGCTCAATGGTTCAAGATTAGAAACGAAGAATTAAATGTGAGAATTGGAATGGGGAAGTTGTGATTTCGGGATAAGCTCGATGTATTGTTACGAGCCTAACGCTGAATGCATTCTGCTCAAAGCAGTGGCTGACCATATTGAACGCATGATGTACAACGGACAACAAGAATATTTACGAATTAGCGTAATTTTCAGATTACGTAGATGTAACGAACATTTATTATCAAGAAATTTTTGTACTTTCAAACAATGTTAACAATTACAAAAAAAATTTACAAAAAAAGCATAATGTATTTGCATTACATTTTTTTTACATTTTACATTTTTTTTAAATTTATTTTTACAATTTACATTAAGAACTAAGTTATTAATGTTAGTAATATTGTAAAATTACTTCATTGATCTTAAAATAAAATTTTATTATTATTATATAAATTAAAATAAGAATTATTATCATGATTATTGCACTTGCTAATTAAATTTTTGCAATTGTCCAAGAGGCAGACTTTCGAATCTTCCACTCTATTTCGAAAATATTAATGCTATGTAAGATTAAAAATGTCAAAACATTAAACAACACCTTCCTATTAATTATCATATAATAACCGAAACACAAATCACGTTCCTTCATAACTAAGATACTCTACGACTCTCGCTTTGTAATTCTCCTTTAAAAAATTTAATTTACCTTCCTCGATGTAATGCTGATTCAACAATTTCGCCGCACAATAGAAAGATTCAATAACCCCCGTCGACGAAAGAAAACAAAGAAATTCTTTCACATTTTATCCAAGGACTCTTCCATTCCCAACCGGGATTCGGTTCGAGGAATTGAAACGAAAGGAATTCTCGCGGCGCGAATCGAAAGGAGCAGCTGTCGAAATCACAAACCGATCTTCCATGGAAGAAAGCAAGCTGGAGATTAAAGGGGAGGATCCAGAGAAGGGAAAAGCTACCCTGATACACAGGAGCGTGCCCTTCACGCGGCCGAAAAACGTGCACGTGCTGTTGTGGGATGGGCCCCCTAGATCAGGGATCTCCAACCACTCGATACTCGGCGCAGTAACTTCCAAATCAATTCGTGTTTCCCTAATCAGGCAATTAAGACGAAGCAAACTCGTCGACGAGGAAGTACGAAGTTTACCTTGTTCACCTCTGTATTTACCTTTGCCGAGGGCTGGAGCTAATGCAAGGAGTATATCTGAAGAATAGTGTGTTTGCTGGGACAGAGTACACTGGGTTCTGGAAGTTGGAGATCGCTGAACAATCGAAACTGCGAAGGGTAGAAGCAAAGGGCAGATGGTTCGTAGGCAGTCTGCATTATTAATTCCCAATGCTTTAATTTGCTCGTTTGATGTTTGCAAAACAAACGTTGTTACTTATTCGATTTCTTATGCATTTTTATGAAGATTCGCAGAAAATTTTAAAACGGCATGGAATGTACACAAACTATATAAAATATCCAAGATATAATGCCTGTTGTAATATTTGATTTGAATTTTCCACTTTTGTGATATAAAGATTAATTTTATTTACACTCTGCTATTCTTCGCTCAATTTAAAAATATGTAGTCGTTATTTCATACTAGCCTGTATAATATAAGAAATAAAATATACAGGAAGCTTAAGATATTTTAACAAGTCTTGAGAAATGAGAAAATGATAAGATAAGAAGAATTTAGTAATATCAGACTTTTATCCCTAACACACCCACACGCAAAAATATGCATATGTTTCAAGAAACCTAATTAAATTTATATTAAACAATTCAAAAGTCCACCAACGTCGAAGTACTTACAACTTTCCGGATTACCACTAGGCTCTCCACCTTTAAACCTTTAATCACTTTCAACCCAGCTTACTAACAGCTTCGAGTGGCAGACTGGCGGGGGACGCCGGCTTCCGGGGGTAGCATGGACGCCAATGGCTCATAGGATTCGCAGTTTAGGCTGTCAATGTTAGAGAACGGACTGACAGCGCACGTTACACGGCAACGAATGGTCGACAGGAGCGGGTCACTTCGGTGCGTGTGTTTCTTCAGTGTCAGGCACGACGCCAAACAGCGCGCTCCTTTCATTCGCTTACACGCGGTCATCTTAGTTCTTTTTCCTTCGACCGACGACAAACAGAATCGGCGGCAAACTTTGATCATCCACTATTACACAACTAATGTCAATTTCTTTCCTCTTTCCCAAGTGACTCTGTGACTTTGTGGCCTGTGTAAAATTAAACTTCGTCTTTTTCTTATTGCAAAGATACGTAATATCGAAATGAACAAGTATATGAAAAATATTTCAAGTGAAGCGTGAGTAATATGATAATAAATTAAGGTCTAAGTGTTTTAAATGTTTTACGAAGAGTCGAGCGGATATTCGAATGAAAAATGCATGAAAAATATATGGAAATATGTGAAACGTAATATAACGTATAAAACGCAATATGTAAAATGTGGAAAATATGAAACATATTTCGAATAAAAAATATGAAATTGAGAAATTTTAAGTGTCTCACGTCTGAGTGGAAAAACGAACCGCGAAACGAGTGTTCATGGTCCAAGTGTGGCCTCCTTTATCTCTCGCGAGTTTGAGGCACGTAGGATAGGTTTTTGAATTCCTTTGGTTGTCACATCGACTGCGAGGCAAAGATAGCAAAAAAGCGCGCTGCGATTTTGAAGAATAGCCTCAGCAGCTTTCCGTGTTGATTTATCACGACGAGGCATGTCGACAGAGCTTTGAAAACCTTCACTTGCCCCCCTGTTGCACAGCTGCAGAGTATTGGTGAAGATTCACACACTTTCGAAAGATCCAATATCGACGAGATGATTGGGACAAACAAGAGAATTTAACGTAATTTATACTTCGTGATGTAGTTGAATTGAAACCGAAGAAGAAAGCTTTAGGAATAGGTGATCGCAGAATGTATTTGTTTAAGATGGAAAGACCGCTTGTGATCGCAGAGAAAGGACAGCGAATGTTGGTCGATAGTGGCTGATGAATCGAGACTGAAGGAACGAGATCGATGTCTGTCGTTAATTGATCGATCTGTAGCTTTGGAGGTTGTTCATTGAAAAATTGTGTGTACGAAATTTTTTAAGCAATTAAAATTGGTTGTGATTCTGCGGAAATCGATTGGCACAGATAATTGAGAGTGAACAAGAAGAAAAAGAAGAAGTTGGATATATTTTTGAGAGTAATTTATGCAAAATATGAAAGTGAATTGTTAATATATTTTTTTACGAGATTAACGAATGAAGTATCCGTGGTCGAAGCATGTATTTTTGTATGTGAAATTTCTAAAGGATTTAAATGCATATATCGTAAGTAAGATTTTCTTCTAAGAGACTGATCGTACGCATTGGAACATAAAATCTAACAATTTACCAAAGAAGCTGCTGAAAGTTTACGAACTACTTTGAGAAAGATCTAATTAGCTTGGAAAAGAAAGAATCGAATAGCACTAATTCAAAAATAGTCGAGCATCGTTCGATCCTGTAGAACCATTCTAACATCGTCGGTACGCCTCGTTCTTGAAATAAAACATTTACTTCGAAACTGACTAACAACACAAATATAACGATCTTCAATCAACCAGATCTTCCAAGTATTCAAGATATTTCGCCAAATTACACAAACAAGCTCTTTATTAATCTAAAATAGTTTGAAGAATAGTCGAATTCCAAAGAAATTTCTAGCGTAAAATAGAATTTTCTATTTTATCTTTTTTTTAAAAGCGAAACTTTTCTATTGCAAAATCAGAAGAAATTTCTTCAATTTCTTCGTCACTAAAAGGGACATTTTTTTCATTTTAAAGTCAGAAGAATACTTTTTAAAAAGAATTTTTTAAAGAAAGAAAAGGAGAAGAGAGATAGCCAAAGAAATTCGAAAAATGTGTAACCAGTGATTAATAGCGAATCTGATGTATAAAGGCTGTGAAAATCGAACATGCGTTCCCGATACTATTCTAATCCGTGTCCTTGAACGGCCGGTATCCAGCGTTGTCTGGAAGCGTGGAACTTGGCCGTGGCCGATTAATCGCGCACCGGGGCCTCTTCGTAGTGGCAACAAACCCGAGGACTCCTGGGAGACGAGCACGGGGAATTGAAAATAAAGAGAGCTACGATTTTCATCGAGAAATAATCGTGGTACCTCTTCAGTCTTCTCCGGTTTATCCGACTTATTGGTCGCATTCCCTCCCGAGAATCCTTTCAGAATTTATTCGGCTTGGATGAACAGAAGACATCAGGAACAACCTGGGGACGTTACTGGTAAGTTCCGTTTGTGAATCAAGTTTAAAAGAATTTCTTTTTATGTAATAAACTGCATCGAAGACGTTTGTATGTAGGTTAATTCACTTAACGTAGTCAGGGACGAATTTATTAAAATCGGAGAGAAATTTATTAAACTCTTCAGTTTTTTGCAAGAAGCAATGCGTGTGAGCAATATTAAAGTATGGATACTAATTTATTTTTGACAGAATGTAAATTAGCTACGAATCCAGGATGATTTTACTTTTCATTGAAGCTATTGTACAGTAGAATTTATTTTCTAATAAAGAATAAAAAAAATCATACTGATATTATTCAGTTGTATTTTTACATTCTGTCAAAGATAAAGAAATCTGAGACATTCCAGAACGTTGAGAACCTCGAAATCTCCGCGAAGCGAAATTCTCACGCCGGAACAAACTACTTCCAACAACTTTATCACTCCACCACTTCCACGATAACACTCTGCAATGGCCTGTTTCGCCAGAATTTAACCTATCCTTCTACCCTTCAAAGTTTCTTCTCGCATCCCCTTCACGCTCACGTACACATGTTTCTCACAGGCTCGACGAACATAGAACGAAGAAACGAGGATCGTTGACCCGGCGCATAAAGTGGTCCTCGAGTGTCCGAGCTGGCCATATCAGAAGCAGAAATAAGAAGCAAAGGGAAATTGATCCACGGTTATCGGCGCACTTGACTCCTTCGCCGTCTCAAGTAGGCTAATTTTAAGATCGTCGAGAGAGCAAGAGAAAGAAAGAGAAAGAAGGACTATCTAGACCTCTGTGATGATCAACTATGGCTATGGCGCCAGGAGCAACGACCCTGACGAGTCTTCTGTTGTTGCTGATGGCGATGGTCGCGAGATGCTCGTCGATGAAAAGTATCCTCACGAGCACTCAATCGCCGTTTGCCAAGATTCTGAAAGGCGTCCGGCTACCGGGTGGTTACATGGAAGTGATCCAGGAGGATCATTGTTCCCAAAGGGCTATTCGATTAACCTGCAGATCGCTCAAGGCGTTCATCTTCGTTCTGGAGGCGGAGTACCTGACGAATCTGACGCACATTTGCGGATGCGACACGCAGAAACTGACGGAGAAGAAAATGTACAAAAATCGAGCTAACAGCTTGTCGTTGAAGAAGAAGGAGCTAAAGGGGAATTATATCGACGATGCCGAGGATGAACAACGATTCGGTGTGGTGGATATTAGGCAGTCGTTGAACAGGAGGTATGTTATGTATCGTGAAAAAATTTTTTTTATTGGAATACAATGTCGTAGAATTTCAATGCGAAATTTTCATATATTTTGTGTGTGTATGAAGTAAGACTTCGGTTGTGTTTGTAATCAATTATAAATTTAAATCTACGTGAACAGAGCGCAGTCTAGTGAGGAAATCTAGTAAAAGTGTGAAATCATAAGAGAAATAAGTCGTTGATTTCACGGTATCAAAATCGATCAATGCAGCTCGAAATCGTGTTTTCTAAAGTTTTGTGGGTTCACTGCGAGCCACAATTTCGATACAATATAACCATCTCCGGTAATACGAGTCAGCCTACTAAAGCATCAGCAAGAAAAGGAGAGAGCAAAGTACATTCGGTTTGGGTTAGATTACCGTAAACCACAGAGTTAGAAAACTGTTCTTGATATGCAGATATAGTGCAATACAAACACTGGCAATAAAGCCAATTTTCTTTCTTTTTATTTTTTTTTTATTTATTTTTTTTTTTTGTTGAAAGTATAAATTTAATTTGTGATCGATAGACGAAAGTATTTCTCGAAGGAATCGTATGTACGTGTGTGCTCGCATACGCGTGCACTGTCTATGAACTTATAAATTAAAATTTTATTGCGAACAAACTTTAATATCTATTCTTCTAGAATTTTTGTATTAGTATATCTACTAGTATATAACTTATTGCTTACGATTACTTTGTCTTTGACCATCACCTTTCACTTTTCTGCTGATTCAAGACCTAGATCTAGGTCTACATTCTACTAAGCTTTCACTCGAAATTCGAGTTTCTTTATCTCTAGAAACATTCAAATTTATTCTTTTTTTTAAATAATCAAACGAAATAATAACCTCAATTTGAATTTATTCTCTGTAGCTCTTATCAGAAAATTACAAGATCTTATAAAGAGAGTTATAATGCTAATAATTTATTTCTTGTTAGTGATAAACAACAAATTATTTAACAGAAAATTCTAACTCTACAAAAATCTTTGCAAAGATTTCACTACGAGTTTCTCAAACGAAATATGTTTCGCCGCAAGCTTGCAAAATAATATGGTGTACGTAATATTTTATATCCCACAGTTTCCATTTTTTATTTCCTTCATCTATTTTACAATAGTACTTACGTTATAGTACCTTGTATTATACGTATGCCATTGTCTGCAACAAATGTGCCCGTTCGCAGGAAAGTGCAGGGGTGACTACGACAATCGCATGAATAGACCCACCAAAAGTAACTGCAGCCCCGTAGAATCAGACAGGCCTCTACTCTGCTTTCGTGAGGAATCACCCTCCTTCCCTCTGTCTCTCTCTCTCTTTCTCTCTCGGTCTCTCTGAAATTTCGTTCTTTGTAATTGCCACGCTGCTGACCTGTCTTCAAGGGTGGAACGAAATCTCGGCACGCAAAATTGCCGTTTGATGTGCGCCAACAAAGCGTACGTGAAGTTTTAATTGCCTTTTGAGCGACGTTCGATGCCCGTCGAAGGAGAAATCGCTTCCAGAAGAGTAAAACGCACGCGAGGAGCACAGCTCGATGAACTTTGCAAATAAGGGGTAGTTACGAACCGAAAGGAGCATACTACCCTATCCGCCATCTTTAGGATGGAGTTTCTGGCATCTTTGACAGCGTCCGACTCTTTTTTTCTGTTGCAAAAATTCAATTTCAATTGTAAATATTTAAAGCGACTTACAGAACATTCCTTTGAAAATTAATGTAATACGTTCGCTACCAACATTATATATACGTATTAGAACTCGTTATATTTATTGGAAAGCTTTGAAAGAAAAAGAACTCGATTTCTGTAAAGCTTCTTTAATGAAGCTAGCCAGTTTCTCATAGAATATACGTAACACACTCGATTCGTTCGCTATCTAATTGTAAGTACTATCCGAAATAGTTATTTCAAGCATCATTACGAAACTATATTCACTTGGAGAACACTGGAATACCCTCTTGAAAATTTCTTCAGCATTTCCAAGAAAATTCATGAAATATCAATGGTATGCATTTCAATTTAGAAGCAAAGATCATTCGTTCCGTGTAAACGCGTTTCAAGCTCATTTTGATGACGGAAACGTGGCGATGAAAGGTTAGCAACGTCGAAAAATTCAAAAGGATTGCTCGCGTGGGTGGCACGTGAAACGTTATTTCCCTTTTATTTCCGGCAAAAGGGAACGAAGCGATACAATCGACGAGAGAAAAAAGAGAGAGGGTAGTTCACTCCTCGCGGCGAAAGGGGTGAAAATCGACCCCATCGCCATTGTTTCACGTAGTTTCAAGCCACTTTCGATCCCTGCGCAACAATCATCTCGATCTAAAAACAATCGCCTTTAGTCGAACGCAGGGTGCTCGCGCTTTCAACACCCGGTACACACCCCCTAACGACCTGCGTCGCTTATTTAATTGACGACGCTGCACCAAGAAATCGATAAAATCTGCGTTGCGCTGTTTGCGATACGAATATTTATTGACATTCGTGTTTAAAGTCGCGATATCACACTTTCCAATTCGCGATATGATATTTGACGAATTACATACGTTTTTTTTTTTTTCTTTCAGGTAATGTCATAGAAAAAACAGAAGAAATTTTAATACGAAACTCGGGTATTTTTGACTTCGAAAATTTGGGAATCAAAAAATATATTTAAGATTGGAATTTAAGAATGCATATTTATATAAAATATATTTAATTTACGATTTTAAGATTTGGAAATTCGAAAACTCTGAAATTTTTGAAGATTTCCGAAAATTTTAAAAACTCATTTAAAGACTTAAAAATTTAAAGATTTAAAGAATCTGGAAATTCGAATTTGTTTTGTATTTGTTATGAATTGTACTGTTATAAATTTGAAAAAGTTATATTTCGTAGCTTTTGAACATTTATATTGAAATGTGTTCATTCGGATATTCGAAGTATTTAAATCTTCTTAGCGATGTATGATTGTTGTTTCAATGTTTCAGATGTTCTGGTCAAAAACATTGTCGTTACAACTTCATCACCGACCATCCTGGTGCCGTTTATTGGAATCCTGCCACTCTACGGTTAAAATATGCGTGTATTCCTGGTAAGTTCGTCTCAAAAGAAAATTAATACACACCTATTAATGAAGCAATTATCTCTTCAAAATGATATTTAATATTTCCACATCCTGAATAATTTATTGAATAGAATTTATTGCATGAGAAACAGGGAATTTCCTTTTCTCACGTGCGCATCATCTTTTTACTTATGGGACGTAGACAATTGATCGTCAGTCACGTTCGATAATCGATAATCTTCAATCTGGATATTCCAACAAAAAGGTACCAGCTCATCTAGATCAGAGTTGAAGAACGAATGCTACGTCACGTGCAATACGTTCGTAGATTTTTATCTTATCTAAAAAACATTTGTTACCCGTGGACATTGTAAAAATTAATTTTCCAGCAGTGAATAATTTATTACAATCTAGGAAATATTCCATATTTTTTCTGCAGTCCACTATCTTTTCAAAAAAAGAAATTAATTCGAGTAAAGGTTAAAAAGAAAGTTAAAAATTCATTTTAAAAAAAAGTAGAAAAATTTCGATTTTTCTTCAAAATCGTATACCTAAAATAGTACTATTAGTTTTTCTGTAATTTTCTGAGACATTCGGAGACTTCTGCAGAACACGTGATTCGAAGCAATTCCAGCCCTTGATTTCAAAAAAATTGGAAACTTTGCTTGAAAGTTTCATAATGGCCAACAGTCTTTTCGGGAAACGACAACGTGTTCCGTAATGAATGGCATGCCGCACGCAACAAAAGGCAGAAATTCGTCAAGGACACACTAATCCCTTGTTTCCATGCAACCAGGCACGTCCTGAAAACGTAAAAGATGGGACTAAGCTTCATTAAATACGAAAGGGACGTCCCTTCAAATTACGGTCGTTGAATATCTTTCCAGTCAAATCTAACTTCTACTTCAACTTCACGATATACAATAAAATTCATCATGAATAAAAATATTAACGATTGTTAAATTTATA